TCCATCACTCTAATAGGACCACTCTTTCCAAGGTCATAAAAAAATCTCTTTGTTTCAAACTTGAATAAATTTTATCTATGTTTATTTGCCAGCATGATGTCACTCAGAACAACTGGCCATTCCCTTCCCTACCTGAATCATGCTCATTTGGCCTTCTTGGCATAAGTCTCTCCAGATCCAAGTGTCAAGAGGCCCACTAGACATTCACACTTGGATGTCTCATAACCATCTCACACCTAACATTACCCAACTAAACTCATGATCTTCCCTCTAAACCTGGTTTTCCCAGAGTCTGCCATCCCCAGATGGTATCTCGACCCACCCTGGTTATGCAGGCCAGAAATCTAAGAGTCATTAATGAAGCCACTTCCCTCTAGTTCCTTATTTCTCATCCACAATTTGATCCTATCACTTTTCTCTATCTCTGATGTATCTACCTTGTTCTATCACCTTCTTTTGCCTACACTTCTGTAAAAACCTTTTAACTTCTTTTCTGTTTCTACTGCTAAGACCTCCATTCCATTAGCCACAAAATAATCAGAAGAGTATTTATAAACATAAATTTGATCATATTACTCCCATGCTTAAAGTCATTTAAAGATTTATCATTGCACTGAGAAATAAATTATCTTCCTGTAACTGAATCTTCGAGGTCTCCATGACCCAGCCTCTGGCTATTTTTTTTTAACTGCAACCTCATGTACTCTTGCCCAGATCACATCATAGCCACACAAGCCTTTTTTCAGTGCCTAGAACACACCATCCTCTTTCCTGCTCTAGAGCCTTTGGACATGCTATGCTCTCTGATTAGAGGGCTCTTTCATCCACTCTTCCAGGCAATCAAGCAACCTTAAACCTCAGTGTAAATGTCACCTCTTCAGAAAAGCCATCCCAAATCTCCAGTCTAAATTAGATCTCCCTGCTATACTCCCTCATAAAACCCTGTTATTTCTCTTCATAATTTTTATCAGAGTTTTATATTTACTGATTCTATTGTATATACAATGTATGTATTCTTAAAATTATAAATAGCATAAGGGCAGAAACTTTGTGAGCTTAATTGTCTTCCATTTAGTAAAGAAGCCTGGTAAGAAAATAGGACTAGACACCCACAAAGGAAATTTTTGCTGGCTTCAGAAATTAATCAACTTACTCTTTCATTCAAAAAATATAATTGACTTCCAAGGATGACTAGGTATTTGAGAAAAATCACCATCACAATTACATATAGATGAACAAATAAAACACTGACCCCAGAGAAAACAAATATAAGTGAATTTTAAAGTAATTCCAACTAGAGTGCACAAAGAGATGCAAAGAAATGTTACATAAATAAAACAACATTGGTGCTATAAAAATAAAACATTCGAAGTGCAAAACAGAATTACTGCACATTAGAGATGCAGTTGCTAAAGAAAAAGACAAATAGAACAACTAGAAGACAAATTCAAGACAAATAAATGAAAAATATGAGAGAAAAGTCAAGCAACATAGAGAATCAACACAGTAGATGAACTATCAATCAGAAAATGAGTGCAGAGTAAATGGAAGGGAGAAAATAATTTTTAAAATGCAGAAAACAAGCAATGCCTTGAGCTTACCAAAAAAATACAAACTGGGTTTACATCCAAATAGATCCCCAGGTAAAGTTTAGAAACATTAAGGACAAAAAATATCCCAAAAGTTTCTAAGAGAGAAAACAATTAAGTTGGTCACCTACAAAGCAACAAGTATTAGACCGTCGTTATTAAAACTATATGCTAGAAGTCAATGATCAGAGGAAAAATCATCTTAAATCTAGAATTCTAGCCAAACCAATCAAGGAAGGGGGAGTAGAGGAGTTTTTAGACATGCAAAGACCCAGAAAGGTAACCTCTGATGCACCCTGTGTAAAGATCATTTGAAAACATACTCTAACCACGTGAAATAGACATCTAAGAGAACGTGGGATCCAAAAAGAGTGGGAGTAAACCAGAGGGAAATGAATTGAAATCCTAGAGTGGCAATTCTCTGTAGGGCTGAGAAAGTAACCAAGAAAATTAGAAAAGAGAAAAGAGCTGTTTGAGAAAATGTCTTCAAGAGTCAAGAAAATTTCCTATAGCAAGTAACTGGAATAAGAAGCTAGATGACCTATTGATAAGGTAAAATAATAGCATTATTCTGTAAGCAAGACAATAGAAAAACAGTTAAGAATACCAGGAAAATTTAAAAAGAGTTGTAAAAGAAAATTATGGTCTAAATATACAAAAATGAAAATGTATCAGAATTCTAAGCATGAATAGAACATATGAAAACAGAACACCTCTGACATTGATTCTTAAACCATTCCCCACCCCTTGAATAAAAGAGATTTAACAACATAGAATTATATCCTCTCTATGTGTCTAATCCTGCTACTTGGTTCTGAAGAGAATACTAATTACATAATCATAATGTAAATACTCATTGATTTCCAACTTATAAAATCAACATATAAACAAAACACAGAGGCTTAATGGTAATTACAGAAAATAATTTAACTATTATCAATCTAAACAATGTAAAAGTGATAGAACAGCTGACAGGTTGTGGAGAAAGGGTGAATTTCTTATTTTATGGTGCAGAATTAGGAAAAACTGTCTGAAGTTGAGATATCAAGAAAGACAGTCTTTTAAAATATAAATTAAACATGTTATTTAAAATCACATAGGGAACAAAAAGCAAAATTAGGAGGCTACTACAATAAGTTAAATTATTCCTCTTCTACAGTAAGGAATCAATAAACACTGTTTAAAGTTGGAAAATGAAGAAAAAGCAATATAAGCATTTAGACAATTAAAATTTGTATATAACCACCAGAAGAGCTAGAAATAGAAATGGTTAAACCTAGAGACAGGTGAGGGGGTGAAAGGGACATTTTAACTCTTGTTTTATGTTGTTCTATATGGCTCAGGTACTTATGACTCTATGTATATATTACTCTAATTAACTAAATAGTGAGTGAAGAATATGCAAATATAAATAAACAGATGTTCTGGGCCAAGGGACTCAGCCACAGAGCTCTCTGAGGGGAGGGATGTTTGAACAGAGAAGCCGTAGAGTAAGGAGCAACCTCCAGGAGCTCCCGTCCATGAGCACCCTGACAGGTGTGTCTCTCTTACACCCAAAATACACATACACAGCAGCCTGCAACTAAGACGGATGGCTGGTGTTATAGAGCATAGGCCTCAAGGGCTGTAGCTGGCCATAGGCTCAAGAGGAGTCAGTCATTTTAAGTGGTCTAACCTAGAGACTCTGAAGCAAGGCGAGCTGGGTGAAGGTCATTTGACTTAGAGGTCAAAATCATAGACTTTGCAACACTGGGCCTTATCTAGACTGTCTCTTACTAGCTGTGTGACCTCAGGCAATTGAAAACAATTATGCCCAGCCTTGAGGAGTTGGATGTGGCTTAATTGAGCTCATTTGTGTTAAGCTGGCAGAACAAAGCACAAGATGAGTGTTAGCTATTATGACCATTATAAAGAGATACAGATCGAAGCTTAAGGGGGAGCCTAAGGACAACAATGAATGTGTTGGCGATTCTGTTTGGTGATGATTTCCCATAGCTGTCTCCTCCTTTACTATTAGAGAAACAACTTGATTTTAGCTTGGGAAAAGAGAATGCCACTTTTGGGAACCACAGCTATTAATACTAATACTACTAATAAATGCTAACATTTATTGAGCATTGACCACATTCCAGGAAGTGTGCAAAACACATTACATGGATTATCTCATTTCATCCTCACCACCATCAGGTGAGACAGACTTTATTATTTCCATTTTGTAGAAGAGAAAACACAGAGGAATTCTTATGGTGAACCATGTGAAAATGCTGTTATTCAACCATCTTTTACCTATGACCAAATAGCAATTTGGAATAATTTACTTTTAGAAGCAAGTAGCCCAAGTCAGTTCTTAACAGAGCCCAGTTTCAAGCCTGTGTCCACAAGTATTTCATGCTGATGAAAACACTTCTGCAAGGATGACTGGGGAGGGCACCCAGGACAATGAACTAAGCCGTATGGGATAAGAGAAAATACAGGAAACACAGGAAAAGTAATTTGGACTTTTTTGAGTCATATGAAAGAGGCATTAGGCCAGGCACGGTAGCTCATGCCTATAATCCCAGCATTCTGGAGGCCGAAGTGGGTGGATCACCTGAGGTCAGGAGTTTGAGACCAGCCTGATCAATATGATGAAATCCCGTCTATACTAAAAATACAAAAATTAATTGGGCATGGTGGTGTCCACCTGTAATCCCAGCTACTTGGGAGGCTGAGACAGGAGAATCACTGGAACCTGGGAGGCAGAGGTTGCAGTGAACTGAGATCACACCCCACTGCACTCCAGCCTGGGGACAGAGCAAGACTCTGTCTCAAAAAAAAAAAAAAAGAAAGAAAAAGAAAAAACAAAAAGAAAAGAAAAGGATATTAAAATAATTCTAAAATATTCTAATAGAGCCACAAGGTTGAATCCAAGTTTCCAGGACCTGATGCTGATTCAATTTGAAGGCTCCTCTTTTTCAAAAAAATTAATATGTACCTATGTAAAATTGGATATTTTCTGTATCATCTCTTCATGTGATCTTATAGCTTGTTAGTCACGATGGGTACCCTTCTCAGAAACCAAGGCTGTAGGCAGCCTTGCAGATGGGATTTTATGAAATGCATCAGGAAGCAGAGAGTGAAGGCATTAGAGGCTGCACACCTGTCAGAGTTATGAAGAGCGTGCCTGCATTGCCCCCATGCAGAGACAGGGGAAAACCCCATTCTATCCAGCAGACCGGACCTGCTACAGCTGAGACAGTGGGCCTCAGGGGGCTCTATTATTCCAACATGCAGTGCATCTCTCTTGAAAAGTCAATGCCTGCTGAAAGGTCCCTTTACTCATCAGTGGGTTCAATCAGTGTTTTCTTACCCTAACCCCCATCTTACCTGCCTAGCCTCCCTTTCTCCGCACCCTCCCTCTTCTTTCCTCACCTCTCAATACATCTCTGCTCCCCGAACACTTGAGCACAGACTCAGGCTTCCTCTTCTTATTACTTTCAGAAAATTCTGTAGGTGGAAAGAAATTTAATCGGTAATAATAATGCTTTCTATTTTTAGAGCTTCTGCCTTCTGAGCAACCCGAAGAATGCCACAGCTATAACAAAATCGGTTAAAGGGTTGAAAGGGTCTTCTAAAGGTCTTCTAGGAAAGTCTCCTGCAGTGAGGCAAAACTTTCCTGAAACCCGCTTTGGACAGGTAATAGCCTCTCTTACTTTACCCTGGAATCAAACTCAGCTCCATACCTGGTACTCTCAATCTCCAAGAACTCTCCCCACCCCAGGCAGGCCCCTTCTTTGTATCCCCTGCTTTAATTCTTCCCTCCCTGAAATGAGGGCAATAAACTTCTAATGTTCCCCCAGCCTTTAGCCTCTTCTCTAACAACCTCCACCTACCAATACAATGATCTTTCTGAAGCACAGCTCTGATCGGACTTGGAATGCATAGATGGATATACAAAGTGTTGTGGGGACACAAGGGGGGTATGGGGGTTAAAGGAAAACATCACAAGTTGAGATTTAAAACGATAGTAGGAGGTCACCAAAAAGGGCAGCAGGGAGGAGATATGGCAGGCAAAACGTATAACCAATGCAAAGGATTGAGTCCTAAAGAACATGGATGTTTGAGGCACAGTAACTCACAGTGGAGTGAGGAGGGACGGAAGCAGAGAGGAGCCAGCAGAAGAGAGGATGGAAAGGAGTGTGGGGCCAGATTGGAAGCCAAACCATTTTCTCTGGTAGCAGTAGAATAGTTGGGTGGTGGGAGCCACTGTGGAGCCTTGCGCAGAGTACAGCTGAAAGACCTTGATCCCAAGAAGAGACATGTATCAGAGAGGAAGACACTAAAGGAAAACAACGATATTGTGTTTCTCCCATTCCTGAAACTGTCTACCCCACCCCCATATGTATACACACACATTTGCACACCCTTCCCCTTCTAGAGTAAGTGATCCTAGTTCTCTGTTGTAGTTTCTGAACTGTAAGGTACTAAAGAAAGTCTTAGATCTGGAGTTAAAGGGCCTGGTTCCAAATCTGTTTATACGCGTTTGGCCTCACTGCTGTGCTTCATCTTCTTTAACACTAAAATGCAGTGGAGACACCTCCGTCCTGGAGTGGTTGAGACTACTGTGGGAAATATGTATGAAATACCTAGGACGGGTCCCAGTACATAGGAAGTCTTCAGTCAATGCAACTTTAATGCAAATTTTGTTTTCTTTGCGATTCTCTCTACAACCCCATGAGTTCTGTGCCCCTAAGCCTTTAGGTAGAAGCTATCTTTGACAGGCAAGGCACATGTGTAGGCTCCAGCTAACTGCACTACCAACGCTGCTCCAGTGAGGCTTTGCTTGGATTTTTCTGGCCTGAAGTTGAGATGGGGCTAACACATATAGAGAGAGGTAGGCTAATAGCAAACTCTGTAGGATGTGTTTGTGTGTGTGTGTGTGTGTGTGTGTGTGTGTGTGTGTGTGCGCGCGCGCGCACTTGCACATGTACGCACACACACAGCATTAGTAGATACTGCTAATGCTTAAGGGAGGAGGGAAAGAGGGTTGGATAAAGAAAATGAATGCAAAAATGTGGAGCAAAATCCAGCTGTGCAAAAGAGGGCTAAAGTAGATGAAATGCTGGAGAGGGCATAGCTTGCACAGTCCTCATTGACGTCTAGGTGGGCGCACATGGAGAGTGCAAAAGGGGACTGCCCACACCCTCTCAGTGGAATCTCCCAGCTAGGCCACTCAGCCCCAAATGGAGTCCTTCCCTCGGTGCACTCCCTCCAAGCTAGAGACATCCTCCAGAGCTTGAGGCTGGGTGTTGGGCAGAAGGGAGGATAACTCCACCAGCATTCAGCAACCCGCCAATAGTTTCCAGGGCTTCCTCTGAGGAAAGGCTCTCTGAGCACATGCTTTTCCGTGACATCACTGTCAGTGACCTTTGGGGGCCAGTAGGGTGGAGTCCAAGGGGAAGGGGACAGGCCACAATTCTTTGGTCACCACAAAGGTTGGGATTGTGAGCTGCCCGGAGCTGGAGAGCCGCCTCAATGAGGACAATGTCTCTTGCTGGATTGGGAATGGCTTCCCTGCCCGAGGACATCGCAGGACTATAGTGGACCTGTTGTTTTTGCTTTTTTTTATATATTAAAAAGAACATTGTTGAGCACAGAGGCTCTGTGTGTGTGTGTGTGTGTGTGTGTGTGTGTGTGTATGTGAAGAAGTGTAAAGAGTCTTGGAAAATTGAATTTTGCTTTTAGAACAAGTGATAATGATGTGGAGTGGAAAATGTACAGCCTAGCAAGTAAAGTGCATTTTTGCTTTTTGGAAGCCTGGAGAATGAAGGAAGGAAGGAGGGGAGAAAGGAGAGGAGAATAGGAAGACTTTTGCTGCTATTTCAGTGAGAACACCAAACGGCATTGAAAGAAATCAATATGCCCAATGAGTCCAAAGCTGATTACAGTTGAGCAAACACAGTCAACTGCCCTGTGTTCACTTTAAGTAATAGCCTTAAACACTTGGAGGAAGTAACTCAATTACCTTATTGATTTGGGATTTGAGCTGCCTCCCCCATCACACAACACACATGAATACCACCACAGACAGACCCATACGTATTATTTTTGTTTTGCTTCTTTTTCAACACTAATGTAACTGGCATGACCTGCTCAATCAGCTTGGAAAATAAATAAAATGATATCTGCTTTTCATATGCACATTAATTGCTCAAGTCACCACCTGCTCAAAATGAAGGATGGCCAGTATCATCTCTCTTGAGAGCTCCTCCCCCAAAACTAAAGAGCCCCAGGTGCTCACTCAGCCCAAATTGGTTAGTGTAAAGAAATAATTGAGAAATCTGATCAGTTCAGCAGCCCTCTCCTCCTGCACCCCCGTTTCCTGCTGTCATCTATTGTAGCCCCTGCCACACGGGGCTGCTGATGAAACCACACAGCCCCACACAGATTGATATCTCGTCACTGCTGGGCCCATGCCTGGCTGGCCTATGCCCCTATGTAGACACAGTGTTTCTTGAGGAAGGATGATCCCACTGCATTAGTGTTCACCCACGCACTCATCTATTTGCTCTCATGTGAGCTCTGGCTGTTCCAAAGCCGGGTCCTCAAAATAGGGAGGGGGCCTCCAATGACAGCCAGAAGCAGCCCTCCCTGAAGACTTCCCCACTGGAGACGCCTGATGCATTCTCCCACTAACAGACCTCATCCAGGGCCCTCAAAACCATCACAACTTATGCCATTGACTTGCAAAAGCTCAGCAGAGACTGGAAAGTGTCTCAGACACTACTGAATCCAATGTCCTTGTTCTACGTGTGAGGAAAATGAAGCCCAGCAGACTCAAGTGAGCCATGCAGAGTCACACTATGACCCTGGAGAATGTTACCTTCGCAGGTAGGGGAATGAGTTGCCGGTGAGGTCAGCAAGTCTTAGTTCCACACCTGGAAAACATCAGGCCTATGTGTGTGGAAAGGTGGCCCTTCAGTTACCCCAATCTCATTCTCCCCAATGCCATACCTGTGCCAAAGCCTGACCATGGAGAAGTCCCACATTGTAAGCCTCTGAACCAAATGCCCCACATCTCAGGAACCCTTAGTTCTGGGCAAACTGGGACAGTTGGTTACCCTAGACTCTGCTCTATTTATTAGCCTTCCCTTGTGCTGTATTTTCAAACTCTCCCTCTCAACTGGCTCTTCTCTATCAGCTCCAACCTTTCCCACGTTTAAACTGTAAAAGTCCCTTGATCCAACATTTCTCTCTCCAACCTCCTCATCTCACCATTCTCCTCCACTCTGCTTTTGCCTTTCCCTTCCGTCTTCTGTTCTGCCCTTTCCCATTTTTCTTCTCTCGAGTGTAAAATAAACAGTCCTGGATGCATGCTCATGCACGTGTGTGCACACACACACACACTCACACGTTCATCTCCCTTATGCAGTATACTGGGTGAGAAAGGTCACAGCTCTAGTAGCTTCCTTGATAGCCACGTGGCAGCGTGCTGAACCTGGACAGATTCCAGGCATGGGAAGGCCACCTAGGCACTGGGAAGGCAAGGACTAGGTGGCAGGAAGGAGGGTGAGAACAGGCTATTATTCCAGAAACACCCCAGCCTCTGCTGGTCAGGTGGAAACAGCCCAGATTTGTCCTTATGGTCTGGGGATTCCAGGCATTCAGCTGTGGAGGCAGAGGAAACCCCTAAACCAACTCAATAGGTATGAGTGGCATTTGTTCTGCTGCTTCAGGTGAAAAGGTCACCGGCACTGGTCCCCACCCTCCATCCCCACTGCCTGTCTTTCTCTTCCTTAAGAAAGGTTTTTATGTTGTAGAAGCCCCTTCTTGACATGTGCACACTCCACCCTTCATGCCTTCACAGGAGCTTTCTGAGTGGTTTACAGCAGACCCTTTATCTTCCTGACACAGAGGCTGACAATGTGCGATGTACTGAGGAAAGAGAAAGGACGGCCATCAAAAATTACTGAACCCATGCTAAGGGCCAGGCATTGTTCTAGGAGTTACGGATACAGCGGTGACTATGACTGAGGTGTTCCCTGCCCTGAGGGAGCTGGCATTCTAGTGGGGAAACAAAATATACATGTACACATATATAGTAATTATAGATTGCAGAAGTACTAGGAAGGAAATTAACAGGGCATTGTGGTAAATGACAACACAAAAGACTTCCTTGGAGTTTGGAGGAAGTTCTCAGATGCTTTCTGAGTAAAAAGCATCTAAACTAAGACCTGAACAATGGGACTGGGGACACAATTTGGGATGGAATTTAAAGGAATGCTCATACACACTATAATGTCTGTGTTATCACTATCCACAATTTACGTGTCAAGAAATCAAGGATTTGAGAGATGAGGTTACGTGCCTGGTGGCATGGTTCAAACTAATGTGATCAATACCAAGGCCAGGCTTTCTTTTTCACCTTCCCTTGCTTGCGGAATCCATGCTTGCATTCTGAATACTAAAAAGCATCCGGGTGCCAGGCATGGCAGCTCTCATCTGTATTTCAGTATTCGAAAAGCTGAGATGGATGGACCACTTAGCCAGGCATGATGGCTCACACCTGTAATCCAGTATTTGAAAGGCTGAGGTGGGTGGATTGCTTGAGGTCAGCAGTTTGAGACCAGCCTGGCCAACATGGTCTCTACGCTTTTGGTAGAGACAGCAACCTGTCTCTACCAAAAAATAAAAAAGTTATCTGGGCATAGTGGTGTGCACCTGTAGTCCCAGCTACTTGGGAGGCTGAGGTAGGAGAATCACTTGAAACCAGGGGACAGAGGTTTCAGTGAGCAGAGATCATGCCACTGTCCTCCAGCCTGAGTGACAGAGTAAGACCCTGTCTCCAAAAAATAATAATAATAACAAAAAAGGGCATCTGTGAAGCTTTTGCAATCTGAATGTGCAGATTTCAGCTGATGCTTTGAGATCAGCATCCAGTCTTGGTAAAGTATTAAGTACTGAGCAGCTACTACAGGCCCATGGCAGACAAACAGGTTCTTGAAAAACAAGCCAAGGGCATAAGCAAGAGCCTAAACATGGAGTTTGAAAGTGGTACGAGGCAGGGAAGATCTTAGAGGTCAGAGTGCTTGAGCAAGGCAGCTCCGCAAGGACAGAGCCAGGCCAGGCAGAGAGGAGGGGGCGCAGACTCAAGCTGGGGACCTGCTTGTGTTGTGTGAGTCCAGGCAGGAAGCTGCCTTTTCCAGAAGAGAGCTGAGGACCACCGAGGGGGACTGGAAAAACAGCCATACCTTTCCATGACCTGGTACAATCATGAGAAAGTAGAGGAGTGGATCCAGTTCCCTGGATCAGTCCTTCCATCAGCATTTTCTGAGTGTTTAGCTTACAGGTCTCAAATACTGCATGAGGTATTGTGAGAACATTCAGAGCTCAGAATCATGATCTCTACCTCACAGGAGCCGAAAACCTCCTTGATGAGAACTGCTCCTGCTTCTGAAACAACTGAAGAGCCCTTGTACCTGCAGGTGGTGGCACAGCCACGTGAGCCTGGAGAAGAGGGCTTCTTGAAGGAAGCAGACCTGGTGTACATTGAGTTTTAAGGGTGGGGAAAAATTCAGATTGGCAGAGACGTGGCAGAGTGGACATGTCAGGTAAAGGACATGCCACTTAAAAGAGCACAAAGAAAGGCTAGCTGGAGGAGGAGCAGTGAGAGCATAAGGGACAGGGAGGACCCAGCAGATTCTGGGCAGGGAAGTGACGTACTGAACGTTCCTGAGCAAGGGAGTCACAGAATAAAAGCAATGCTGCCGGGCGCGGTGGCTCAAGCCTGTAATCCCAGCACTTTGGGAGGCCGAGGCGGGTGGATCACGAGGTCAAGAGATCGAGACCATCCTAGTCAACATGGTGAAACCCCGTCTCTACTAAAAATACAAACAAAAATTAGCTGGGCATGGTGGTGCGTGCCTGTAATCCCAGCTACTCAGAAGGCTGAGGCAGGAGAATTGCCTGAACCCAGGAGGCGGAGGTTGTGGTGAGCTGAGATCGCGCCATTACACTCCAGCCTGGGTAACAAGAGCGAAACTCCGACTCAAAAAAAAAAAAAAAAAAAAAAAGCAATGCTTTCCAAATTATAATAGTAATTCCCTGCTTGCCTGTAACATTTTGCTCAATGTTTCTGATTGCTCCATATACATTATCTCACTTGATTCTCACAACTACCCACTGAGGGAGAAAGTTATCGCTGCATTTTATAGCTGAGCAAATGGATGGGAGAAGTTAAATGACTAGCCTAAGGTCACAAATCTCGGGGAAGGAGCTGAGATTGGAACCCAGTCCACTGATCTATGGAAAGGGGAGTACAGCACCATGAAAAGGGCTCAGATTTGGAAACCAGACAGATCTTCATTTCAGTGGCACTCCTGCTGGTGACTAAGAAGCCCAGGACAGGTTATTTAACCTCTCTGAGTCTCAGTTTTCTAATTTTCAAATCAGTAATGAGAAACCTTAGAGAGATGTGGGTTCGTTGTGAGGTGTAAAGAATGTTGACTCCTGGCACAGAAAAGAATCCTACAAATATTTGTTTTCCTCCTCTTGTTCCACTGCTCCCCACTCAGGTCCTGAACAAACCGAGGGATTGGCCCAACATCCCCCTGCCTTCCAATGGTGTCAATGAAGCTCTGGGGCAAGCGGTTCACCCTCACAACCAAGCAGCACTGATCTGGCTTTTGCAAAACCACAACCCCATCCCAGGCGCAAGGGCTGTGCTGGTGGGCGGTCGCTCAGCACCCAGCACATCCCAATCTAAGAACAGGCTGCGGTGGAAGAGTACGCTGAGCTGCAGAGAGATGGGTGATCTGTGAAGCCGCACAGCACACGCCACTATTTCTTGATAGAGCAGGCCTGGATTTATTGTTGGTTTTTTGTTGTTGTTTTTAAACAAACAAAACAGGATTTAAAATAACAGCCCACACACAAATACTTGTCAGAAATCTCACCCTTGACTTATCTCTTGGATAAAAGCAATTTCTTATCCTGGCAAAGCTCTTTATTCTTTTGAAAACATTTTCATATACATTATTTCACTTGATCCTCAGAAGGCCAGAAGGGAGACAGTGCAGGCTTAACTGTTCCCTTTGAACAGATGAAAACTCCATGGCCTAGCAGCTGGAGGGAGGGGTACCCCAAGCTCCCAACCTCCTGCCCATGGTTCTCTCCCTTTCCTGGAGGCTCGATTCAGAGTCCAGAGTCCATTCACTGGCAAGCTCAACTCTAACATCCAAAATCCTCCCCGCTCCACTCAGCTACTGAAACATCAGAGATGCCCACGTGAGGCTCATGCAACGGGTAAGGTGGGGATGGCAGTTTCGAAAAGAGACAGCTAACCCTGGGCACGTCCTACAAATGTGCTAAACTCTCCAGTCAGAACAGGCAGGAGTCCCTAAGCCCCTACCTTCCCAGGAACCTTTCCTTCATGCTCCAATCACCCATTCCAATCCTCTCTTAACCTGGGATGCTCAGAGACACAGAAGACTCATTTGGAGTAAGATCCCCTGAGGTCCCTGGTAGGTCAAGCCCTCAACTTCAGCTTGAGGATTTAGGCAAGTCAGTTCACTCCTAGAACCTAGCTCAGAGATCCTACAGGAAGGCCAGCCTGCTAACCCAGGCCACGGATTGACTCCTAGGTACAGCAGACCTGCTCTGTCCAGCAGTATGCAGAAGCCCAGGACAAACAGCAAGCAAATATTTAGCAGCAACCACGAAGCACTCCAGGCACTTAGGGTACATCCATGAATAGGCCTGACAAAGTCCCTCCCCTGCCTTCATTTGGTTTATGTTCTAGTGAGGTGAAGCAGAAAACGAACAAAGAGCAAGCACATTAAAAGTCCGTAGGTGATGAGTGCTGCATGAGAAAAGAGGCACTGGGTAGTGTAGCTGGAGCGTGCTGGGGGAAGGCGGGGAGCTCTGCAGGTTACTATTTTAAATAGGGTTGTCAAAAGCTTCATTGAGAGGTTGACATTTGAGCAAAAATTTGAAGGAGTGAGGGAGCTGGCATATGGATATCTGGAGGAAAGGCATTCCAAGCAGAGAGCCAGCCAGAGCAAAAGCCCTAAGGAACAGGGAGGAGGCCAGTGTGGCTGGAACAGAGGACTCAAGGGGGAGAGTTGCAGGAGATGAAGTCAGAGAGGGAACAGAAACTCGGTTCTGGGGTCACAGGGGTCCTGTAGGACATTGTAATGACCTTAGCTTTTACCCTGAGTGAAATAGGGACATGTGTAGGATCTCGAGCAGATGACTAAAATGCTCTAAGATTTGGTAGGATCAGTTGGCTGCCCTCTTGTGAACAGCTGTAAAGCAGGGACAAGGGTAAAAGCAGAGACCAGCCAGGAGGCTGCTGCAGTGTTCCAGGTGCAGGGACCATGGCGTCTGAACCCAGGGGCAGCAATGCAGTGGTGAGGAGTGGTCAGTTCTGGCTATTTTCTAAAAGGAGAGCCAACAGGATTTCCTGAAAGGTGGGCTGTGGGATATGCAAGGGAGAGAGGGAGAAGGAGAGAGGATCCAAGTGAACCCTAAGGAATTGGGCCTGAGCAACTAGAAAAATGGAGATGCTTCCACTGAATGGGGAAGGCTAGAGGGGAGCAGGTGGGTATCAAAGATCAGGAGTTCAGGTTAGATGTGTTGAGCTTAAGATGGCAGATGACGGCTAAGTGGACCACCACCTGTTGAGGTGGCAGCCACTGAAGCCAGCTGCCATATGCTTGCTGATAACTGCCTGCCTCCATTGCCCAGTATCCAGAGTGGACAGTCCATGAGGGAGGCTTACTTCCCCACCTCATTTTCTAATCCCTGGGAACACAGCTGTCCAGGCCTCACTCCCTGGCCCACTCTCTCTCCCCAAGATAGCTCTGAAAGCTCTCCGGCTGATGGGAAGCATTTCAGAACAAGTCTAACGATGTCTGAGAAATCTCCAAGGATGGGCCAAGCTCTTAATCTGCTCCTTGGATCGAACCCCCATCCAAGGAAGCCTGCTCCAGGCTCCATAACAATAAAAACTTCAGTCTTAGCTAACATTAACTGAGCACCTACTGCATGCCAGGCACTCTGTGGGGCACTTTTACTTTCATTTTCCATTTGATTCTCATCCCAACTATAGATGTTGTTAACCCCTTTTGAAGATGACATAACTAAGACTCGGAAAGATTCAGACTTGCCCAATGTCACAGAACCAGTAAACATAGAGACTAATATTTGAACCAGCCTTTTGATTCCAACCCTGCTGGTCACCCCATATCAAATTACTCACGCTTCAAGGTCCAGTTCATGTCATACCTCCTCAGTGGAATCTCTATCCATCCCCCGGTCAAGTCTTCCCTGTTGCCACATGCTGTGTGCACCTCTTCCATGGAACCTCTGATTTTGCTGGAACTGCTGTGACTTCTGTGTTCCTCCCTACTCGGCTACACCTTTCCTGAGAACAGAAGCCACATCTTTTAATCCTTACTCTTATATGCTCTCATAATCTTCCTTCCCCACAAATGAGTGTGTTTAATATGCTTACTAATGCTATGCTATTTAACACTTTTTACACATTCACATAGAACATTATATTTGGGTCTCAGCCAGTTGGGTAAGCGTGAACCACATGGGTTCCATTAGCCTCACTTATGGTTGAGAATATATATACTCAGAGAGATCAGAGGATTTGTCCAAGGCCATACAGCCAGATGGTGTGTTGGGAACAACATTCTAAGCTTGTAAAACCCAATGCAGTGCCCATTGCAGGGTTGGATCAAGTTCTTAATGTACTGCTTTGATACAATCCCTTTCAGTGAAGCCTGCTCCAAGCCTTATGGCAGTAAAAATTTCCAACTCCTCCAATACTAATTGAGCACCTACTGCATGCCAGGCACTCTGTGAGGCACTGGCCTAAAGCCCCATAATGCCTTTTGGCATATCCTGAGCATTGGCCGGAGCCTTCAAGGTGTGTCGTCTCCTCCCTTTTCTATTTCCTTGGCCTCTCTTCCTTTGTCTCCTCATTACCATATTCCCCCCTTCATCTCCAGCTTTCACCATGATGTCCTTTTCCTGCCCAGAGCTCCTAACCCTGAGCAAGAGGAGGTAAGCTCTGACCAGAAAGTGGCTCTGGGGAGAGAGGCCCCTGCAAAACATCTGGAATGCAGGATCTGAGTTGAGGCTACTTGTTTTGTTATAGTTGTTGTTAATTTTTTCCCTAGGATATAGATTCTGAAGAGGTGTCTTGTTTTAACCACCTTGCATTCACCCTGTTGGTGTGGAAGGGATCCCCACCCTAGGTTAGGGGATGGCAGAACAAATAACAGCTGTCACTGAACAGATGAGACAGACAGTTTATTAGTCACATATACTCACTGCCTAAGGGAGAAAGATACCATATGCTACATATGCTAGTATACCCCCTGTGACTTACTGAGGGTATACACAGGGTGTATACTAGGGAACAACCAGGGGCTTTGTAGTATCAAGAGGGTGGGGTGCTTCTCAGTTCCCACAGGAGGAGGTGATTGGCTTGTTTGAGAAACTCCACAGGCTGGCAGGAAACTAAAAACTGCTACTCAGGATTAAGCAGAAACTGTGCCTGGTCCCTTTGAAAAGGCGAGTTGTTTGACTAGGAGATGCTAGCTGCAGGAGTGGAGCAGGAAGGAGAACCTGCGGTTAGGTCACTTGAGACCTCGCCAGTTGCACTAGATGTCAAGGAAGCACATAATATTAGGCCTTACCAAGCTATCTTACCTTCACCAAGCTATCTTTATTTTTTAATAAATTTTTATTTTGGAATTATTTTTGACTTACAAAAAATTACATAATACAGAAAATTCATGTATATACTTCACTAATTTCCCCTAATGCTAGCATCTTATATAACCATGGCACCTTTATCACAGCTCGGATTTCACAAGTTTTTCCACTAATATTCTTTTTCTCTTCCAGGAGTCACCTAGGGTACCACATTGCATTTAGTCATCTTGTCTCCTTAGTTTCTGCTGATCTGAGATGGTCTTTCAGTCTTAGTTTTTTACGACCTTGATACTTTTGAAGAGTTCCCAATGTAAGTCTGTTGGATGAATTTACATGCTTAGACTGAGGTTATGGGCTTTAAAGATAATGCCAGAAAGGTGTGTGGTGCTTCTCATCATCACAGCAGTGGTGTATAACATCACTAGTGAGGATAATCCCATTGCTTGTTTAAGATGATGTCTGCCACAGCACTCCACAAAACTACTAATTGTCCTTTTTGATATTTTACTCTTTGAAAATGAATCACTAAGTCCAGCCTACACTCAAGGAAGAGGACTTAAGCTCTACTTCCTGAAGGAGAAATGGTCTACATATTTTATTGAAAACTCTTCTGTAAAAAAATAGTTGTCCCTTCCTCTGTTATTTATTTATTCAATCATTTATTTAAGCCTGCATGGACTAGTAGATATATGTACATACAAAACACACACACACACACGTGTGTGTGTGTTGCTGTTGTTAGCTATAATACAAGCCTATCATTATTTATTTTATTGCTTAATTTATTCCAGCTCTGGGTGGGAATGTAAATTAGTACAACTACTATAGAACACAGTATGGAGATTCCGTAAAGAACTAAAAGTAGAGCTACCATTCAGTTAAACAATCCCACTACTGGGTATCTACCCAAAGGAAAGTAAGTCATTATATAAAAAAGACACATGCACATGCATGTTTAAAGCAGCACAATTCACAACTGCAAAGACGTTAAACCAACCTAAGTACCCATCAACCAATGAATTAATAAAGAAAATGTGGTATGTATACACCATGGAATACTACTCAGTCTTAAAATGGAATGAAGTCATGCCTTTTGCAGCAACTTGGGTGGAGCTGGAGATCATTATTCTAAGTGAAGAAACTCAGGAATGAAAAACCAAATTTCTTACGTTCTCACTATACAGTCCTTACCCCTCCTTCTCATCTAGCAAAACTCTAGTCATCCTGCAAGACCTAGTTCCAATGTCTCTAAGCTTCCTTCTCTTCATACTAAGAGGCAAACCCCTCCTCAGTACTTTCATAGTCCTTTATACATATTTCCAGTATCTTAGTCTAGAAGAATGATTCCATTCTATTTCTAATCCCCAGTAGACTATGAGCTCTTTGCAGGCCAGGATTCTGACGTTTTCATCTCTGTAGTGCCTGAGCCTGACAAAATGTCTGACACAGAGTATATTTATATTAAATACTTGCTGAATTAATAAGTACAAGTTTCACATGTGTACCCAATCTTGATTACTTACCTCTACTAAGTGGAAAGGAGCACAGGAAAGGTCAGAGATGGAAAAATGAGATCCATTCCATTTCTTCATTGCCCTCCTCTTCCTTTGATGGCAAAAAGAGGAGAGAAAGAGAGCAAGCAAGATTAGGATGGGGTCAGAGCCTACTGCCCCCACCTATTTAAGAGAGCCTGAAGACATTAACTTCAATGAAACTTCAGGGACTTGAATGCCAGAGCAAGTATCTAAGAGGGTATTTCTAACTTTGAAGCCACAAGAATGAAAAATATATTTTTAACAAACAAACAAGATAAAATCATATCTAGTTAATATGTTACTACATTTTACATAGGCATTTATGTCTACAAAAATGACTTTATGTGATTACCTGCTTTACATTTTAGTATCAAAAGAAGTTATATACATATTTTAAACTGTACCTATGGCTAAGCTTAGTGGTTGAAATGGTATCACTAGAGTAACCTGTACTGGTGGCACACTCTCCAGGTTTACACAACTCAGGGGATTCCCCAGGTTTCTTTAAAACTAACTACAAGCCTATTCCTCTCAGAGAGTAATATTTTTCTTAAAAGTTTCATTGCTTTCTTCAAAAGGTGTTTGAGAATGACTATGTATAAAGCATCAGCCATGGAGGACACAGTATGGTCCTTGTTCATGAGAAGCTAACATTCTAGATATTAGGTTATGCTCTTGGAAAGTGATTACACCTTAAGAAAGAAATGCAGGCTGGTGCAGGGGCTCACACCTGTAATCCCAGCACTTTGGGAGGCCACAGCGGGTGGATCACCTGAGCCCAGGAGTTTGAGACCAGCCTGGGCAACATGGTGAAACCCCATTTCTACTAAAAAATACAAAAAGTTAGTCAGGCGTGGTAGTGTAATCCTGAAATCCCAGCTACTCAGGAGACTGAGGCAGGAGAATTGCTTAAACTGGGAAGGCAGAGGTTGCAGTGAGCCGGGATCCCTCCAACTATACTCCAGCCTGGGTGACAGAGTGAGACTCAGTCTCAAAAAAGAAACACAGAAAGACAAAAGAAAGAAAGGGAGAGAGAAAGAAAGAACAAGAAAAAGAAAGAAGAAAGAAAAAGAGAGAGAGAAAGGAAGGAAGGAAAGAAGAAAGAAAGAAAGACAATACTTCCAAGTATATGAAAAAGGGCTTTGATGTAACTGTTACTTTGATAAATATCAATGTTAGGTGAGGTCCGACATTGACTGACAAAGACCCAATGTCACCAGATACCTGCATTAAGTCCTAGGAAGAACAGGAAGGGGAAGTGAGGGAGGGGAAAGGAAGTGACTTGGGAAATGAGCAATAAAAGAGAGAAAGAGAGAAGAGAGCTTGGACCCAAGATGCCTCTGGCTACAGTTATTTCTTGTATTCCAAACAGCTGGCTGTGTGTTTGCAGTTCTGGATGACTCACCATGTAGGAGGAGCCCTGCGAGGAGAAAGAAAAACCACAGAAGAGGGAAACCCCCTTCAGCATCCTTGGGGTGTGGCTGTGGCATTCTGTCTCATGTCCTCACACAGGCCAGCTAACAGCTTGAGCTTCAGTGTTCAGAAGCCATTTTAAGATTTTAAGGATCTTCCAGAAACCCAGGGGCTCACCCAGAAAGGAAAGGAACTTCATTCAGCTTCCTTGTTCATAACCCTAAGAAACCATGTGTAAAGAATCTCTGCAAAGAAAGAAGAGATATATACTTGTCAAAATGGAGATGTTCACTCGAGTCTAAGAAAAGGAAGTGGGGGGAAGGAAGATTAGCCTTGAGCATAGAATTTCATACATTACAAACGGGGCCGCACTGCAAAACCCACGCAGCCCTGTGATTTAAGCTCCCCCTGTAGTCTCAGAGAGTACCTGGGTCTTATGGACTGAATTGTATCCCCCTACCTAAATTCCTATATTGAATCTTAACCCCCAGTACCTGGGAATGTGACTGTAGGGATAGGGCCTTTAAAGAGCTGATGAAGCGAGGATGTTGGGGCGGGCCCTCATCCAATGTGACTGGTGTCCTTATAAAAAGAAGAAATGAGGACGCACAAAGAGGCACCAGGAACAAGAGTGCACAGAGAGAGGAACCCATGCAGAGGCAGCAAGAAGGCAGCCATCTGTAAGCCAAGCAGAGATGCCACTGCGGAAACCAACCCTGCTGTCACCTCAAACTTGGAGTCCCAGCCTCCAGAACTGCAAGGAGATCGATTTCTTTTGTTTAAGCTACCCATTGTGACACTTTATTATGGCAACCTTCGTGGACAAAACACTGGGGAAAGAGCTTCCATACAATTTGAATGTGGTGTCCCAGGAGGGCCTCAGCCACGACACATGCCAGCTAAATCACTGCTGTTTCATTCGTACATCACAACCCAACTTTGGACCATCATTACAAGATACTAATTTGAGTTTTCCCACCTGCCAAACACTATATTAGGCTGCTTTCTCACATACTTAATTGCTAATGTGAACGTGAGGCTCAAAAGAGGTTAACTAGTTTCCCCAAGTGTATTAGCCCATTCTAACACTGCTATAAAGAACTACCTGAGATTGAGTAATTTATAAAGAAAAGAGGTTTAATTGATTCACAGTTCTGTAGGCTGTACAGGAAGTATGGCTGGGAGGCCTCAGGAAACTTAACAATCACAGCAGTAGGTGAATGCGAAGCAAGCACGTCTTACCTTGGCAGAGCAGGAGCTAGAGAAAAAGGGCGAGGTGCTACACACTTTCAAACAACCAGAGCTTGTGAGAACTCTAACACAAGACAGCACTAGGGGGATGGTGCTAAACCATTAGAAACCTCCCTCTCCATGATCCAATCACGTCCCACCAGGCCCCATCTCTAACATAGGGGTGCACAATTCAGCGTGAGATTTGTATGGGGACAAAGAGCCAAACCATATATCCAACGTCATCGAGATAGGGCATGCAGGACCTGGGGTAGAAGCCCAGGCCCTCTGGTTCCAGGTCTGTGGTTCTTCCACACCCCAGGCCAGGGGTCTCAATGGGAGTTGTTAAAGACCAGAGATGTTAAGGACCGCATGCCACTCTCACTTTCGAAAGTCAGCTCAGTCCTTCCAGCAGCATAGTCACTGGGGTTTGCAAGTCCTGTGACACAAAGAGGAAAAATATGTGTTCAGTCCTAGTTCTATCTTTACTGGACCATTCAAGCCCAATTCTTAACTGACCACATACCCTATTTAGTAGCTAGTTATGAGGCTTACACAACTTCAAAGATAATATTAAGGAATCACTTAAGAAAGTATTATTGCTTTCTGGATAATAGGCCACTTTGTTCAGCTCAGTTTGCTGAGGACAACTCTATCTGGAGCTCCTTGTCAATATCTATTTTTAATGGGATATATTTATAATTGGATGTATTTATAACCTCCTTTTCATGGGCACTTGTTTTCTTTCCAGAATCACACAGGCATTTTAATAGATTGGCTATGGCAGTAGAGAAGTGACTAGAAACAGTTTGGGCCTGATTGTCTGTGAAACCTGAGAATCCTCACTCCTCCGATGCTGGTGCCTGCGACACTTTGGGAAGACAGCAGCTTCACCACTGCACGCTGGTTCTCATTTCTATAAAAGACATACATCCCTCCTGGAAGGGATGGAGGACATCGGGGAGATTAAAAGGTTCAGTACATACTGAGAGAAAACTTCAGTGGAAATTCCTATGATTTAATTCAGTTTGGCAAACATTTATTTTCTAACTATTACATGCTAAGCACAGATTCATTGACTGAGATATGTTAATTTTAGCAAAATTATTGAACACAAGTATCAGAGCTGGAAGAAATCTTAAGAGATTATGTAGTCTGATACTTACTCTCACTTTACTGATGACGAGCATGAAGTCCAGACAGGGGAAGTGGCTTGTCCAAGGTCAAACCATCGGTTCCTGGCAGGCAAGGAGCTAGAATCTTTCTGAATCCTAGCCCAGGGGTTCCAATATACTCTGCAGCAGTCAGACCCTTATCAGAGTATCATGTCCAACTTAGTCCACCACATTGTGAAAACCATGTACACATCTGGAAAGGATCCAAAAAGAAAAAATAACCGAAATTGCCACAGGATGGAAAATAGAATTTTTAATTAAGTAACAAATATTCCAGCTGGATATGATGAAGCACTATTTGGCTACCAGGGTTATGAAATATCAAAATGAGCAAATCGAAGGAAAGCACACCCAGAAATTTTCAAAAGGACAAGAGATAAGCATCTTTTATTGATTGTTGGAGGGTCACCTGCCCCCAAACAGGGCACTGGAACAAATAAGCTCTCAATTTTACCCAGCTCTATTAGAATTCATCTAGGATTCCATATGCCTTTTATAAGGCTTTAGCCAAACAAACTGCTGTTACTGCATCATTGATCTTATCATTTGTTGAAATGTCCTCTTAAAACCATTTCTTTGCCCTCTTGTTTGTTTGTTTGTTTTTGTTGTTGGTGGTGGCTTTTTTGTTTGTTTTATTTGCTTTGTTTCTTTTCTTTTTAAAAAAAAAATTTTTTCAAAAAGCCTTTGCAATGAGGTGGAACAGAATCCGGGATGTCTGAATTTTAAGATTTGGGGATTTAAAAAAAATTGCCAGAGGTGACACGCTGAGAGAATAGAGCCCTGACAGTAACCACAGGTCTAGGCCAGCAAAAGGTCAAGTCCAGAGTGAAGCTGGCTGACAGATACCATAGATCTAGGCAGGCAAGGACCTGGAGATCAAAGCAGCATTATCAGGCACAGCAGAACTCTGACCTTAGAGCAGAATGGCCATTTGCTTTTAATACGTTTTACATAATCTCCTAAATATAGGTTGCTTGAAGTTTAAGAGACACGTCAGAGGCAGAATGGTGTCAGAGGCTGGACAGCCATAGGGTTAGAGATGCTAGGACTACCTCACAAGAGGTCATCCCTGTTCATCTCACCTCACCTGCATGGCCACATTAACACCCCCAAAGTGTCCTGGGTACATCAAGAAAGAAAGTTTGGAGCACTTAAGAGGCATCCAACACAATAATGAGATAGCCTTCAACATGTCGGAAATGAGATCATGCTAAACCTCAGGTTATAAAGGGATCTGTCTCTACTTCTTTCTAATGTCATTGAAGAGATCTCTTTAAAGGGCAATTCTGCAATGTCCCTGAATAAATGCCAACAGTCACCTCCATTCCTCACTCAGACCCTCTTCAGTCCCTCTTCCCTACTTTTTCTGGGACCCATCTCACTCTCTGTGTACCACTGAGGTTGAACAACAAGAAAATACATATTACTTGATAATCGGTCTCCCAAGAAATTGTTTCTCCCTCACAAAAACTAGAATAGGACAACTAGCCTGGCCTTTGAACCTATTGTTCTGTTGAGAATGAATCTCCATAGCTGTCAAATGTGAGAGTGACAGACCCTCACATCTCTGCTAAAGGTCACTTGCTAAAAGTCAGGGCTGAAAGGATGTACATCATGACAGAGACAAAGAGGAGCATATTAACCTCTTAGGCTTCCATATGTTCTTGGATACTTGCCTCCTACTGAGCTTTGGTTTAGCTTTCTGTGTTCAAAGATTTTTGCAAAAGTACCGGATGTTAGAAAAGCAAATCAAACCTAACAAAAAACTCAGATGCTAAATCCATTTGTTTCAAGGCTCTCCCAAAAGCTGCTGGGGAACTCACATGAAAACAGGTTCCTGTTCCAAGGAGTTGTGAGGTTTAATTCATTTCATGCGATTCAAGGCTCATCCTGAAACGCCACATCCTGTTGATGTCACCTACTTTTGAGCCAGAAGAGAGAAGATAGTTTAGACTTGATGAATTTTCCTTCCCTCACAGCCTGTGCTGTGTTGAGTTTCTGCTTATGTTCACACCAGAAAAACGTTAAGAAAAAAGCTACTGATTTTTCCTCATTCCTCCCCCACTGTATCCCAGTAAGAATTCTATCTGAAGAATGTGTGTGCAAGCATGCATATTTATGTGTACACACACACACTCATATGCACAAATCACAAGTATTTGGCAGATACTCAAATCCTTCTCTTTAAAAGCAACTAAGCCACTATTGAAGTAGTGTGCTAGGTGTCTGGAGAACAGAATGCAAGCATGCTAGGCCAGCAATGGAGAAGCAGCACTCCAGAAGGCTGACTCCACAACCACCAGGTAAACCATGTTCCTGTTCACCTTTATGTGCTTTCCTGTGTCTCTATGAAACCAGTCTCCTTGAGGGCAGGGATTCTCTCTTTATTTTGAGATTCCCAGCACCTGGCCCTGTGTCTATACATGATAGTCACCCAACAAATGAATTTTTGAATGAATGGAGACCATCCCTAGCTGTTTACCAACAATACCATTTAATCACATTTTATAGACAAAACTTCAAGGTGTTCAGGTCCATGTATAAAAATTAAAATTTATTCTTGTGTTTAATTCTGGAGGGCATCCCTAGCTACTTTCCTAAATATCTTCAGGAACATCTTTACCTCCACCGTGCCCAAGTCACACCTTTGTGTCTAGGAAAATGAAAACAGAAATTTCCAAAATAACATTAGGATGCTGTGTGGCTAGTTAGTATCAAAGCCAAATTCTTATCTAGTGCTGTTATGCCATATCTCCAGTTTGAGTGTGCCACCTCTTTCCTGCAGGGACCTAGACTCATACATCCACCCTGGGTTCCTTCTATCTGACCCAAAGTAAACAAACAAAAAAGTTTCCAGGAGATATTTTCAATCATATCTGCCTTGCATATAGTAAGTGTTCAATAAATATTAGATTAAATCATAAAATCATATTGTCAATAACCTCTATCACCTCCAACTATAGGAAAGTAAATTATTTTCTCTCAATTTTAAAAGTTTGGGTTAGAACATGAGAGATATTAAGAAATAAGAATCTTATTTTAAGTTGACAAGTTATTTCTTATTAGAGCCATGGTTCTCAACGTTAGCTGCATGATAAAAAGTATTACGTGTGAGGTACTTTTATAGTAGTAATCCCTCAGCCCATCCCCTCAAATTCTGATTTAATTAGTCTGAAGTGGATTCAGGCACTGGCAGTTTTTTTATAGCTCCCCAGGTGATTCTAAAGGGCATCAAGGGTTGCAAATCACCATTCTTGGCAGAACCCAACTTCTCCTTCTCAGGGGTGATAAATCTCTGCCCTAGCCGTAATGAGGTTGTAAGATGAAGAGAAGAGTGTATGGATTATTAGAAGAAAATACACCCAAAGAAGTATTTTAAAAATATTTCTCTCTTAAACATAAATTTTTTGAATACTTAAAATGAAATAAAAATGCTAGAGCAGGCCGGGCGCGGTGGCTCAAGCCTGTAATCCCAGCATTTTGGGAGGCCAAGGGGGGTGGATCACAAAGTCAAGAGATCGAGACCATCCTGGTCAACATGGTGAAACCCCGTCTCTACTAAAAATACAGAAAATTAGCTGGGCATGGTGGCGCGTGTCTGTAGTCCCAGCTACTCAGGAGGCTGAGGCAGGAGAATTGCCTGAACCCAGGAGGCGGAGGTTGCGGTGAGCCGAGATTGTGCCATTGCACTCCAGCCTGGGTAACAAGAGCGAAACTCCATCTCAAAAAAAAAAAAAAAAAAAAAAAAAATGCTAGAGCAATATGGTCACAGCAAAAGGTTCCAAGCTCAGGGCCCTGTTTTATAGTCAGGTGCAATGTTCTCAACCAAACTGCCTGTGACACTCAGCTGAGGAACATTTGAAAATCTTAGTGCTCTTGGCCCACTCCAGACCCAATTTTATCAGGATCTCTGGAGTGAGGCCAGGGCATCTATCTATCTATCTATCTATCTATCTATCTATCTATCTATATACACACACACATATGTATTAATTTCCCAGGTGAATCTAATAGGTCAAGGTTGGGGACCATTAGTCTGGATAAAGCAATTTTTCTAAATATCTTGAAATTTAGATCATAGATTGTTCCATGTTTTTAACACAAGAAGAAATTTTACTTTTCATACATGGACCTGAACGCCTTGAAGTTTTGTCTATAAAATGTGATTAAATGATACTGTTGGTAAGCCTAGCTAAGAATTTTAGTTGTAATGTGGCAAACAGGGTGAGCTGGACAAAAAATGGTAAGTTTCCATGAATGGTTGCTGACGTGCAATGTAGACATTTACGTGATAACCCAGTATCTTGTAGAGTAATGCTGGCACATGTCTGGATGTGCCCTTCACCCAACAATGGCTCTCTTGGACACATGGCTCCCACATGAAGTGAGTTCTGTAAAAAAACGTTTCTCTGGTAGAAATATATCACCAGCTAAACATATATAGGAAGGGCCAGGTAATACCAGCACTTTGGGAGGCCAAGGTGAGTGGATCACTTGAGGTCAGGAATTCAAGACCAGCCTGGCCAATATGGTAAAAATTACTATTTTGTATTTTTAGTCTCTACTAAAAATACAGAAATTAGCTGGGCATGGTGGTACACGTCTGTAATCCCAGCTACTTGAGGCTGAGGCAGGAGAAAAGCTTGATCCTGGGAATCTCAGTTTGCATTGAGCTGAGATTGTGTCACTGCACTCTAGCCTGAGAGACAGAGCAAGACTCTGCCTTAAAAAAAAAAAAAAAAAAAAAAAAAAAAAAAAAAAAAAACGATTTCTAGAGACTATTTCCCATCTTCCCATTAACAAAGTGAATCAAAGTAGCGTGCTAGGTTTCTGGGGAAGAAACATAATGCAAGCATGCTAGGCCAACGATGGAGAAGCAGCAAAGGAGCCAGTGTTTGACTCAGAGGCCCAAGCACAATAAGTGTGTAGATTGGTCTGAAGATCATGCAGAAAACATCAGTGTATTGGCCACTGAATCACTATTTTCCTTAAAATGAAATTCATTTCTTAAAAGTACTTTGTAAACTAACATTTTCAAGTATGCTTTTAATTTATGGCAAAACTACAATAAAGAGAAGCAACTTAGTGTGACATAAGACCACTAAATAAAAGGCAGGTTTTGACACTAGCTACATGACTCAGGCAACATATTTTATCTCAATATCTGGGTTTCTATATCTTCATATGTAAAATGAGTCTAGTTTGATTCTTCTCAAACTTGGCTGATCAGCAGAATGCCTAGGGAGGTGTTAAAACCTACCACTTTCTGCGTGTCTCTCCCAGACACTCTGATTTAGTTGGTCTGGAATGGAGCCCAGGCATCAGTATTTCTCAAATATTTCCAAGTGAAGTCAATGTGGGCACAAGCTGAGAAGCACTGCACTGGATGAGCTCGATGTTCCTTTCAGCTCTCATCTTCCTTTGGGCTTAGGAATCTTAGCTTTGGGGAGTGCCTGAGCCATTAGAAGAGTTAGTAACCAATGATGATACATCCCACAACAGTCAAGGCTAGTATTTTGCCTCTTAGGAGGGTCACCATTTCTTTTTTCTAAAAAAAAAAAAAAAAAAGAATATATCTATCAAGCTAAAAAATCTAAAACAGTTTTAAAAATAGGTTCTAAATATGCTGTGCCTCTGACAGCTTGTGCTGTCCTGAGAAGATACTCAATAGCCCTTCCCGTAGTGTCACCAAAAGCTTTCTTGATTCCACTTCACCCCTTCCCAATGTCCTTAGGGCATTTAGGCCTTGGACCCACATTTGTTTTCATATTTGGACTTGAAGAGCTGATTCCTATTTCAGTTTGGATTTGCTGCCAGGTCTCCCGGCCCAAGTTCAGTTTCCCATGGGCTGGCTGAACCATCAGTGTAAAACAGCAAGATAACATCCCAGAGCTGGAGCTCCTCCAGCCATGTTACGTATGGAGAACCAAGTCCATGTTGGCCTCACAGGGTCACTGTTCGCACAGCCAGGGAACCATCTTGGAAGCACAGATGGATGGCTCCGGCATTTCACTTCAACACCATCCAGTCTCTCATTCCAGCTGTTGAGAGCAAACCAGAGAGAGAGAGAGAGAAAGTCCAAAGAAGCACTAATTCAAGCCCAGTTTCAAAAATTAGTGGTTAAATAAAAGTTATGAACCAGACTGAAATTCTGGAATCTGATAAACTACAAAATTAAAACCAGAAGAAAGGTAGGTAGCTCTAAACACTGTGGTCAGTAAGCTTCCGAGTTGATTGACTGAACTGTCCAGTTAATTGCTTCCACCCACACTTTCTCTTGGCTATGAAGACAGATTCTCAATATTAAAACTTAGAAACAATTGCTATCCCACCTGAAGGTTAAAATGACAATGTAAAACTATATCTGGCAAAAAGTTTGATCTTTGGCTCAAGGGATTAGATTGGTTTTAGTCAGGTAAATTTTATAGCCTAGAGAACTATTTTCAAATTGCTGCAATCTTTGTGAACCCAAGATTGTCTCAGTGTATGAAAGAGTTAGCAAGGCCAACCAGGTCTTTATATGAAGTTGGCCTGGAGTTTCTGGTAACCCACATAATCCTCATTTTCAAGATTAAAAATCATAGTAATAAGAATGTTTCTTGAGTTTTGTCATTATTCATCATTAAATTGGTCTAGATCCTTCATGCCAGAAGTAGAAACAAGGTAAGACAGAAAGAGGGTGCTTAGGAAAAGGTCAGGGACAGATTTAAACATGGCCCACTAAACAGGTCAGCCGGTTACCCTGCTCTTAGGCTACTATGCCAGCTATCGCCCACTACATCCTTACCCTGGTCCCACTCATCACCACGCCCACGGAAAACATCCAGAAGAAATCTCCAACCCTACAGAATAGTGAACGAGTACCCAGTTACCTTTAAGATTAACCTACCCTGGTAACACAGAATGTAGAATCCCCCTAGA